CCAGTGTTCCATTAACTGAATTCCCTCGATTGAAACTACTAATCGGGGCATAAAATTTTATTATTTGAACCAAATTATATTTATTGAACGAGATTTTTAAGAGACGATTAAATAAGTGAACTCCGATTGAACATGCTCGTGAACTTTCATTATTAAAATTTAAAAAGAACGTAATAGATAGTGGAGAAAATCAAAAGTGGAATCTTATTACACGAAATTAGTGTGAATTGTAATTTTTGAATCGAAAATGTAACAAAATTAAATAAATTTTATTCATTGACGCTAGACCTGCTGATCTTTAATGGGTACCTCAACACAGGAAGCATGAGTAATAGTAATTTTAGTGGTACTAGTGGTACTAGTGATGGTAAGTAAATATATTAATTAGAGTTCTATCGCAATACGAGTCAACACTAATTCTTTAACTCTTTGAGACACGCGATTTTACAGAAAATAAAAATCCAAATTGCACAGAACGTTACAGAGAGTTACATAATCTCACCATGCAACCAATGTTTAAACCCTTTGTACTCGATGATTTTTTCGACGATTTTTATAGAAAAATAGTAATTCGAAGGCTTTCTATCATAAAGTTGACGATATTTTTAAAAATATTTAAAATTAAAATATTAATTAAAATTATTAAAAGTTATTAAATTAATTATTAATTAAAATAACGTAGAATTATTTTACTTCGACATTCCACACATTGTTAGGTAATTTTAAATTTGATATATTAATTAACATCCGTCTTTAAAATCTGATTAAATGGCGACTGAGAGTTGCCTCTCGAGTGCAAAGGGCTAAATGAAAATTATTGAAACATATTTTTTCACCAAAACATCATAATTTCTAACATTACAATTGAATTAAAAACTTGAAATAAAATATTAAAATGAATAATTATGAGTAATTTCGACTTTTCGAGACTCTTCGAGTTAAAATATATCTCCCCATGCACAAGAAGCTGAGCTCAACTCACCTAACCTCAAAGAGTTAAAAACAGGTATACGTTTTTAATAATTGCAGAAAGGAAAATTTCGTGAGCAATCATTTTTACTGGATTTTGGTACTACTAGTGTTAACTTCACTAAGTTGAACTTAAAATTTTATTATTTTGTCTGAAATATATCTCCCATAACAAATTTCTAATCAATTCTCCATTAATTGAACTCACCCTTCGAATCCTCATCGTTCAATATAAAATTTTATTATTATTATTATTAAAATGAAATCTTATTAATATTGAAGAAAATTGGATAATTTTTATTTATTTATAATGAAAAATTCGTCTGAAATATTTAAATATTCGAAACAGAATTTTAGGCAGAATTCTTATTGACTAAACGAGAAATCAAAGGTAACGAGAAGACTCGATACACCCCTGTTATGTGATCCGTTTATGCTAGAAGCTTCGGATAGATGAGTTTTCGTTATTAATAAGAGAAATTATTCCTCACAAAGATCCGTTGAAATTGCTTGGTGTTATCATTATTAAAATTTCGAGACGAATGAAAAGGAAGCCATAGCGTGTATGGTCGTCTTGGTTTGAAATTACTTGCTAAGTATGTTGGAGAAATTTGCCGGCTTCTTTCCTGCACATCCTATATACAAAATGTTTCTCGCGTCTTTCATGAACGAAAGCAAGACAAAGATATCGCGTGAATATTCGTTAGAAAGTTACGCATAAAGCAAATAACACGACCCTGTCTATTTCTTATTGTTAAGCGAATTAACATTCTGTAATAACCATAGCGAAGGAATATCAGAAAAATGTTGAGAGAAATCGAACACGTGCGAGCTAAAATTCTGAGAATATATATGAAACTTTTGATTTGTCAATGATGGAAATTTCTTCGGAATCTTTTTCAAATTTATATTCATTTTTGAGTTAATATTTTGGTCGATGTGACACGAGAATTTTATTTATTTCTATGTTAATTAATAATTGGAGCGACACCATTTTTGAGGTTCGATGAACACTTAATTTCTCAACGATAATTGGATATCTCGAAGTCCTTAAATTTAATTTATTAATAATTTATTAAGGTATTAGTCTCCTTCAAAATTAGAAATTTCCTCATTCTCGCACAAAATTTTCTTTATCTCTGTATATAGAGATTATCGACGCAATTTTAGAGGACTATATTTGTCGAAGATAACTGGACACTTGTTGGGGTTCTTATGTTGTGAGAACAGGAATAAGGTGAGAAGAATATTTCGAAATTCTAGGTTTCAATTTGTGAAACATTTATTAGAAAATTGGACTATTTCTAGACAAGAAATTTCCTTTATTTCTATTTTTAAGAATAATCTTAAGATCTTTAGGAGATCAAACAGGGTAGACTGCATTTATCTCGAAGCTAACTAAAAATTATGAAAACAGGGATAAAATGAGAAGAACACTTAGAGAATCTAAATTTAAATTTATGAAAAATTTATTACAAAATTGAACTATTTTTCAAGGAACAATTTCCCGATTATCACGACAGGATTTCTTACATTTCGATTTTTAAAATAAAATTTTAGAAGAACAGACAGGATAGACTGTATTTTTCGAAGCAAACTGAATATTACGAGAACAGGGATAAAATAATAGTGCCTATAAATTTAAATTTATGAAAAATTTATAACAAAATTGGACCATTTCTGGACGAGAAATTTCCTGATTGTCACGTCAAAATTTTTGTTAATTTTATTTTTAGAATAATCAACAGAATTTTAGGACACCAAGCAGGGTAGACTGCATTTATCTCGAAGCTAACTGAACATTGTGAAAACAGGGATAAAATGAGAACATCAATAAATAAAAATTTCTGAGACATTTATAACAAAAGTGGACTATTCCTAGATTAGAAATTTCCTGATTATCAGGCAAAAATTTCCCTCATTTCTATTTTAGAAAATAATCGACACAATTGTAAGAGATTAGATTGATTAGATTGCATCTCTCAAAGCTAACTGAACATTACGAGAACGGGGATAAAATGAGAATACCTACAAATTTAAATTGTTTAAAAATTTATAACAAAATTGTACTATTCCTAAACGAGAAATTTCCTGATTGTCACGTCAAAATTTTTGTTAATTTTATTTTTAAGAATAATCAACATAATTTTAGGAGACCAAACAGGGTAGACTGCATTTATCTCAAAGCTAACTGAACATTGTGACAACAGGGCTAAAATGAGAAGAATACCTATAAATTTAAATTTTTGAAAAATTTATAACAAAATTGAACCATTCTTAGACGAGAAATTTCCTGACAATCACACAAAAATTTCCTTCACTTCTACTTCTAAGAGTTAGCGACACAATTTTGGAGGGTCGAATGAGACGGACTGTATTTCTCGAAGATAACCGAACATTTGTCAGGGTGCTTATATTGCGATAACAGTGACAAAATGGGTGGAACACCACGAACTTCTGAAGTTCAGCTCGTGTGGCACATTGCGGTGTATACCCTCTCGTATATTTATATAAGTACAGGCCCGGCGATATAATAACACTCGGCGTGGTGCATGTCGCGGCACACGCCATCGCCATATGCCACGCGAAATTACCGCCATTGCACGCTAATTACGCGATAATCGATGAAAATATTGAATTTATTAAAAGAGGTGCACTACTCGAGCGACACGCGAATCCTCTTTGTGTTTATTCATTTCGAAACGATTTAACAGATGCGAATTCTATCCCTTTATGGCCTTTCGAGAATCGACAGCTAATTTCCTCCACCTGTTTCCCGAAGTCCACTGAATTAAAATCAGGTTGTAAAGGAAGAAAAATGAGAATGAGAATATAAACAGGGAGATAAGGATGATTGCATATTAACCATAAATGGTCACGACGAAGAAGCAGATTTTCTGGTAATATTATCTTGGTGAACTAAAAATAAAATTTGTTTAAGTTTCTAGTGAAAAATAATTGACCTTGTGCAACAGGATATTTATAATTTAATAGCGTGATATTTTAAGATGATTATTCTCAGCTCTTCCTAGTGCCAATTATGAAATAAATAAAATAATTAAATTAAATTAAATTCAATTAATAAAATAATTTATAACGACACCTTTTAAAAATTTGTTTCAATTTCTGAATATCTAAATAAATTTTGATCGTATTAATAACATATCGATCTTTTTAATTATAATGATCTCTTTCCGAAATAAGGAGAAGCACGAAAGCAGCAATAATTTATAGTATTTTATTCTAACAACTATGATAACAAATAAAATAATTAAATTAAATTAAATTCAATTAATAAAATAATTTATAACGACCTCTTTTAAAAATTTATTTCAATTTCTGAGTACCTAAATAAATTTTGATCGCACTAATATTATATCGATCTTTTTAATTATAATGATCTCTTTCCGAAATAAGGAGAACCGCGAAAGCAGCAATAATGTGTAGTATTTTTATCTGGCAACTATAATAATAAACATTTCGTATCCTTCTTAAGAGAAAGAAACAAAATATTAATAAAATGAAATTGGTAATAAATAAAAATAAATATTTTCATCGAAATCTTTCGCGCCATTTTTAAAATTCCGAATAAAATCTCCTTCGTTGTGAACGAAGAAAAATAAATATTTCATAACGTCTGACATTTTCTTTGCTAACGAATACGACACCGAGTACCCGCGCCATTTTGAACAATAATACGACCAAACGAGAAATGGTAATAACTCGCAATAAAATCCGTTCATCTCGGAAAAATAAATATTCCACACCTGTTGACATTTCTCTCAAACAAACAACACAGCCCCGTTACTTCGCGGCATTTTCTACAACCACAGGAGGAAAATGAAAACAACCCGCGATAAAGTCTCTCTCACCATAAATACCTAAACATTCCAGAAAACTTGACAGCATCTTTCTCACCAAACTTAACACTTTTACTTTCGAATGGTGGTCACAACGAAAATAACAGTACGAACCAGCAACGCGTTCCACGAGATAACCCGTCTCCATCTCGAAAGCATGTTCGTACTCACCGTTATTGGCACTGGTAGCATTCGGGGTGGTCGGCGTGGTGGGACTGGGCTGTTGCGCAGGTGGTGCGTCGGGGTCGCTCATAACTTGGAAAACGTCCCCGATGTCGGTGTGCGGGGTTTCGTTGCCCTGTATGCCGCTCCGCCGATGGAGTTGATGCAACTGCTCCATCTGAAGATGTCTGAGCGATCGAACGTGCTGCAGGAGCGGCAATCGGTGTCTGGCGCTGAAGCCGCACAGGGCGCAATGGTACAACTTGGCCTGGGAGGGCACGTTGGCGCTGGCCTCGAGCAGGTGACGAAGAAGCAAAGCCGCGGCCTCGTGCCTCGGCGACGCGGCGTGCAGGGCCAATTTGTGAGCGCTGTTCGTGTAATAGTCGCACGCGTGACATCGTAATTGCGCGGCGCTCGTGGGCGAAGCCAGGTACTTGAGCTTCCACTCGTTTCGTAGCCCGCCCTCTTTCACGTGGTTCACGTGCTGCAAGCGTTGTAGATGCTTGTCGGTCTTGCAGTGCAATTGGAAGTTGGCCTTCAGGTTGGTTTTATAGGAACAAAGTTTGCAGACGAAGTGGCCAGCCACCAGCGCCAGGATCTCACCCTCGCGCGTTCTCGTTCGATCAACGGCGAGGTGGTGGCCGAGAGCCTCCAACGAATCGGTGGCAAAGTTGTTGCAGACGCAACAGTGATAGAGATGAGAGGGATCAGGATCGGCAGGTTCAGGTGGTGGGTCCATGCTGTCGGGTGAGAGACCAACGTCTCCGCCGAGGTTCCCCATGGCTCCCATGCTCGCCATGCCACCCATGATCTCTGGCGGGAGCTGCGGCGGCAGCTGACCACCGGTCATCATCTGGATCAAGAGAGCCTGGTTGTAAGCCATGTCAGCGAGAGCGGCCTCGGCGTGCTGAGGCTTGTCCAGGCCGCCAAGATGGAGCAGCTGCTCGAGTTGCTGCTGATGCTGCTGTTGCGCTTGTTGGTGGTGATGCTGTGCCTGCTGATGGTGGGACTGGAGCGCGGACAGGGTCTGCATGTGCTTGACGTTCTGCTGCAGGACCAGCATGTTGTGCGTATGCTTCTCGCTAGTCATGTGTATCCTGAGGTTGCGCGCGACGTTGGTCTCGTAGTTGCATACGTCGCAGCGAAACGTTGGCTTCGGTTTGCCTTGATTCCCGGCCTGGCCGGCGATGTGCGGACTATGGTTCTGCTGATGGTGAGGACTTCTGGTGGGCATCGGCGCGTCCTGCGAGGACGAGGGATTGTTGGCCGCTGAGCTACCACCGCCGCCCTGTTGCAGCTCCTGCATGTTGTTCAAGTGCTTGTCGCTCTGCATGTGAATACTGAGATTGCCCTTGGTCGTGGTGGAATAGTTGCACACCTCGCATCTGTACGGCTTGTATCCGCAGGTGTAGGTCTCGCCGCGCGCTAACCTGGGATGCGGTTGCCCGGCGATGCAGTAGATGCAGGAGGTCTCGCTCTCGGGATGCTTCTCCTTCATGTGTATCTCTAGAGTCTCTTGATACTTGTAGTGCCAATTGCATTTCGGACACTTGAGGGTCTTGCAGGAATTTCTGCTGTGAATGCCAGCGAGAGGCCCACCTGGACCGGCCAATCTGCTGCTGGCTAGGATGAGTTCGCATTTGGGACACTCGACTCCGCTCGGTCTTCCTTGCATATGCTCGGGGCAGACACCGATGGTCGTGCCTGTGAGGAAGTTGGGTGGCTGCTGGGTCAAAGCCGCGTACGAGGACGGCGAACCCTTGGTGGAGGATGTGGGAGGCGGTGGCGAGGTGTAGTGCATGCCGGAGGCGTCAGGTGCTTTGGCCCAAGAGGCGGCGCTCACCTGAGCACCGGTCCACTGATGCTGTTGCGGTTGCTGATGATTGTACGCGAGAGGATGATTCGAATGGGAGGTGGGTGTAGTGGGTGTGCTGGGCGACGGCCTCTGCGGCTGCTGCTGTTGCTGTTGCTGAGGACTGCTCGGTACTCCGGGAGTGCTGGCAGGCGTGCTGGTGGTGGTTGGCGTTTCGTGATCGGTGGATTCGGTGCGCTGCTGCTGCTGCTGTTGGTTCTGCATCTGCGCGGCCGACGGTTGCGGGCAAGTGGAGCTCGTCACGGGTTCGAGGAAGCTGACCAGCGGTTGCTTTCCTCTGCCCACGGCCTGAATGATGGCCGACGCGGTCGAATGAGAGAGTATCTGTCGCTCGTCTTCCATCAGGGTCAGCTGATGTTCGCCCTGAGCGTGTGCCACGAAACTCTTCGCGTAGCCGAAACTGAGCTTGCATATGAAACACATGAGGATAGGCTTGACGGGTACCGACGCGGCCGGAGGTGGTGGCGCGGTTGGAGGCGGTGGCGGTTGTTTGCTACCCTCCGCGCTTCTGTAGCTGATCACCCGATAGCTGTGCATCACAGGAAGATCGGGATTGTGCTGCTGCGTCGCCGAGCGCTGTTGCTGCTGTTGTTGCTGCTGCTGGTAAGCTTGGTGCGCGTACAATCTCGACACGTAATACGCGCTCGCGATCTGAGGAAATACTAGAGAATGAGGAACCGAGACACCGCGCCCGTCTACGATGCATCCGTCCGGCAACGAGTCATCCTCGCTCAGCTCGCTCTCTCCCTCGATAATGTACGCCGAGCCGTCCGGATTGTAGACAATCTTCCCGTCGAACTTCTCCACGTCGCCTCCCGTTGGACTGGGACTAGGGCTGGGCCCTTGCTGTTCCTGTTGCTGTTGTTGTTGCCCCTGCGACTGCATGGTCATAGTAGTCGTGGTCGTTGTGGTAGTATCCGCGATCGGCGTAGGCGTCGGTATAGCATCGCGGGTGCAGGGTTCCGTGCCCGAGGGTGGACTGGCCGTCCGGGGGTGATGGGGCTGATGTAACGCAGCCCCCGCTGCCGGGGGGGACCCGCCCCCTCGACCCCCCTCCTCCTCCGGGCTCATCTCCTGCTTTTGCTGCGTGTACGTGGAATTTTGAAAGGGCCCGCCGTGTTGCTGATGTCTTTGCTGCTGCTGGTGCTGTTGCTGCTGCTGCTGCTGCTGTTGATGGGCCGCCACCAGCTGCTGGTAGAGCTGATGTTGCCCGATCGCGGTCGACGTGTGTTGCTGAAGATGCGAGGGAGGAATGTTGTGGTGTTGAAGGTGGTACTGGGGGGGATGAGGCTCACTGGAGGGCATCACCCCAAACGTGAGGCGGGCGCCAGCCTCACATCACCTACGGCGCCTGCGCCTACACTCTCTCGACTTCCTCTTCTTCTTCTTCCTCTACCGAACGTCGCGCTCCCCACCCCCTTCGCTCGCTCTCTATCCGTTCTAGTCTCTTCTCCACCGCTTACAGATGCTTTGCTAGCTACCCCGACGCAACCCCAGGTCGTACCTGTAACATAAACGAGGATCCCTCTTTTAGTAACTCTGGAATAGCTTACTCCAGTCGATCGCGAATGTCGTTAATCGTGAGTAATCGACTTTCCACGGTAATTAATTCCCGGGTCCTCGCGACGATGTCAAGCGTCACGTCGCTGACTGGATATGGCAGAATCTAGCTCGCCGGCCCGAGCGGCAATGATTTCGCGAGGGACATTACGAGATGCTCTAGCCGGTTAATCCGGACAAACAGAGGCCGCCCCGAGGACAGTGGAAAGATAGCGAGGAACGTAGAAAAGGCGGCAAGCTGCGTGTACAGAGGACGAAGCGGGCGATGGCGGCGGGTGGGTACACAAAGCCGAGGAGACTTGCCACGGCAGCACAAGGCGCCCTGTGTTCGCGTTACCTGAACCCTCGCCGTGGACCCAGCTGTGTTTGCGACTCGTCCACCGAGCTTATCTATCGATTGGATATTGACGTCTCCCTTTGGTCCTAGCGCCGAGACGCGAGCAGAGGATCGTAACGGAAAGAAGTCGTAACGTCCCGGTCTAATCGTGAATGCTACTCTTGTATGCACACGCGCCCATTAAAGGGCTCCTCCTCCCAGCGTCCTAGATCCTCTCCCCTTTGGTCTAGCAATAACCAACCATCTATCCGGCGTTGGCAAACACGGAACTGGCTACGTGTCGGTAAACTCGCGGCTACAAGCCTGCACTGTTCTAGCATTCGAATTTCGAGGACACCGAGTGATGCCGGTTGGAGATCACCGTGAGATATCGCCTTCGGAAGTATCACCGTGCGCCGGGGATGCTACGGTGCATTACGCGCGCGGATTCCTGCAGGCAACCGGCATGCGTCTGATCATCCACAGTCCCAATTACGCGAAATCGCGGTTCAAAAGACGGCCGAGGGTATTCGCGGAATCTAACGGATTAAAGAGAAGAGGGGGCGAGCAGCCGCGGATTTATGGGCTCGCTGGGCCTAGCGTGTGGGGGTGTAACGCGGCGTGACGGAACCGAGAGTCTCTCTGGTCCCGTGCAAGCTACTACCTAGGGGAATTCTCTGCCCCCCTTCGACCCATCGCGAGTCTCCTTTCTCGCGAACGCGCCGCTGGACATCGTGATACATAGATGCATTATGCGATCCTACCGTCTCTCTGCCTCTTTGTCTACCTCTCTGCTCTCCTCCCTCCTCCACCTTTCCCCGCGCTATCAGCTATCAGCGGTTATAATTCCGCGGTGCAAACTCCATAATCCAGTGACCGTAGGCCAGGAATCTCGTAGCCAGCGCCGGTTTTCTAATGCGTGTAGCCGCGGCAGCCGATCATTTCCTCGGATTATCGTCGATCGATCGGCAAATCGCGGTGGTCAGCAACGTTTGTCCAGTTTTCCCCAGCCAAAACCCTGCCATCGGTAATCCAGCGACTTCCCCGCGAGCAATTATCTGCGATTCATGCACGATTTACGCGTTTACGTGGAAAGTGACTGTACCAAAGGCCACGGGGCACGTACGGTGTTTAGCATCCTCGAGAAATATGACTTAATCTCGCGATACCTGGTCCGGTGATTGATCGAAGTTGGATGCGCTGGGGTCTTTTGTTCTTTGCATCGGAGATGCGTATTTTTGGTGTTTCGAGTGGGTTGACTTGGGTTCCACGATTGGCAGAGGGAGATAGGGATTTTTCAGCCGAGCCTGACGCGTTCAGGCGGATATCGCGATCCTCGCGTGACCACGTTATGCCACGTTTGTACAACGCGTAACAAGCAGATAGTACGCTAATGCAGGCTCGATCAGAGAGTAGAATCTCGCGGTAAAAAGCTACGAGCACCGAGTAACGTGGTAACCACGAAGGTTACGAATATTTTAGATAGTGTTTCCTATAGCGTTATGCGAATTCCGGTGTTGCTTTGTTCCAGGTGCTGGATAATATTTTAATTTTCGTCTGAGGTATATTTATTTATGTATCCGTAGGAAATAGTCAAAGAAGATTCACGTGAACTTCGTGAAGTCGTGAAGGCTTTAATTCGCGAAGATTCACGAATATTAACACGTTGCAATTTGCATTTTGGTACTCCAATCTGTCACATTTACAATAATACAAATATTAAGCACTATTACCACGGTGACTGCCATGGTGGTCATCAGTGACCAGCGTTTGGTTCCTCAGCAGGACCATGGTGGCCACCAGTGTTCGGCAATACTAATTTTGTAAATTTATATTTATATTTCATTTAAAATTATTTATATTTGACCAATTTTTGAATATTTGAGCAACGTAAATAAATAGAGAATTTTGAATAGAAAACATAAATAATTTGCATCATTTTTGTTTTGCCATATTGTTTGATAATTCATTATCGTGTCGCAAGAGTAATGGAAATTTTATCGTGTACTCCTGAGTGTACGATATAAAAATTGCGTGGCAGTCAAAGAGTTAAACGTAGATAGGGAAATCAATTTCTTTCTAGGTAAACACCCGGAACAATATTAACTTGTATCGATTATAGAAATGCAAGGAGAAAATAAGGAGTAGTTGTAATAACGAGAATTATAGTAGGGCAAGTCTATTTTCTTTTTCCTTTTTAATAGATATTTCACGTGTTTTCAATTTCAATTTAAATACGATTGCCATACGATATACGGTATAAATGATTTATATGATGATTTATGATTCGACGTGTAATTAATTGAAAAATTTGCTTTCTATTACTCACTATTCACGTGTTCTAGTTCTCACTCCAATTCAAGTTTATATTTATATA